TCATTAAGATAATAGCTTTGGGAATACCCAAAACAAAACCCAGTGCTATCAAGTCGATTCCAACTCATAGCAACCCTATAGGGTTTCCAAGGCTGTAAATCTTTACAGAAACAGATTGCCTCATCTTGTGGAACAGCTGGTAGGTTCTAGATGAGCACTTTAACCACTGCACCACTAAGGGTGTTAGCTTTAGCAGTGTTGTTAGGTTAGTTGGTTTTGACCCATATTGATCCTGTGTGCAACAGAGCCAAACACTATGCAGTCCTGGGCCATTCTCATGATCGCTACTATGCCTGAGATATCACTGCAGACGCTGTCAGTCTGTCTCATTGTGGGTCCTCCCTTTGTCACTGACCATCGACCACATATGATATCCTTCTCTAGGTACTGGGAATAGAAAATGCAAAATACACTCTGTTGTATGGTTAAATAAGAAGGAAAATGACAGACAACTTACCCTTAAGGCACTGAGAATAAAGATAATGATCCAGGTGCAGTTTAGGTCCTGTTTTTATGCTAAATTTTATTCTGTATCGTGAAATGCATTGCTAGGTAGTTCACTGAGAAAGGCAAAAACCCCTCCTGCTTTTAACTAGGAGTTCTGGTGGTGGAGTGGTTAGAAGTATTTGGCTCTAGACAGAAGGTCAGTGGTCCAAGCCTAGCAGCTGCTCTGTGGCAGAAAGATGAGGTAGTCTGCTTCCATAAAGATTAACAGCCTTGGAAACCTTTGTGGGGGATTTCTAACTTGTCCTATAAGGTCACTATGAGTTGGAAGCAACTGGATGGTAACTGTGGTGGTTAAGTTTGTGTGTCAACTTGGCTGGGCCTGGTTGAGTGGCTGGACAGCTGGATGTAGTATTCCCCATGATAAAAGACTGCTAATCAACTCCATGGTGGAATCTACTGGAAGCAGCTGAGTAGCTGCTTTTCGGTATGTGGTCTACTTCCTGTATATAAGAAACAGCTTTGGGAATGGGCTCTGGCTTATGGCACCCTTGGACCCTACATGTAGCCATGTCTGCTGACCTTGGGACTTTCAATGGACTTAAATTAATGGCTTGCTGTGTGGTTTGGTAACATTGGGACTGTGCCTTTTTACTTGTCAATCTTGGTCTTGTCAGCCTTGGCAGCCAGCAACTGTCTGAGTGAAGAAAAGCTTCTAGCTCCAGTGGGCTGGGAGCAGGAGGCAAAGTTGAAGTCCAAGGTTGAGGGGCTTTCATCCAGCCCCTAGAGCCTGGCACTTTGAACTTAGTCTTAAAGCCTCCAAATTGTAAGAATAAACTCTTGTTTGTTAAGGCCATCCCATATGTGGTATATTTTTGTCAGAGTGGTACTAGGTAACCAGAACAGTAATGGGTTTGGTTTAAGACTCCCTCTAGGAAAATAAGTTTGGTGATTTTGAAAGGTTCATTTCTAAAACACAATGTGAAGTGTTTCTTTGACATACTTAACATTTTTTAACGTGTCAGGTACTTACATGATTCATCTCATTTAATCTTCATAGCAACCTTTTTTTAATTCTTATTTTAAGGACAAGAAAACTGAGGCTTAAAGATGTTGAATGACATGCCTAATGACACAGTGTTAGCTGTCAGTGGAACTAGGATCCAAGCAGTCTGAGCTCTTAACTATTATTCTAATTGAACTGCTTCCCCTGTGCTGAAGTACAGAAATAAGTAAAGGACTGTCACTGCTTGTTGACTTCATTTAGCTGAGGTAGAGCTATGAAAGAACTACACAAAATATATCCTATTTCTATGTGCATATTTGTATGTGCTACAAGAATGTCCATATAAATAGAACTAATAAGGGCAAAGTTATAACTTCCAGCCAACCACCCTAAGGGACTGAATTGTTGAGCCTCTGGGCTCAGGACCAAGGTCGCAAGGGACATCAAGCTCAATTGGCATAACATACTACACTAAAACATTGTTCTACACTCCACTTTGGTGAGTAGCAACTGGGGTCTTAAAAGCTTGCAAGCAGCCATCTAGATGCAGTAATTGGTCTCTTCTCATCAGGAGCTCTGGTAGCGTAGTGCCTAAGGCACTTGACTGCTAACCAGAAGGCTGGCAGTTCAAACCCCCCAGCCACTCCTAGGAAGGAAGATGGGGCAATCTAGTTCTGTAGTGATACTGCCTCGGAAACCCAAGGAGGGGTCGCTATGAGTCGGGTCCAACTCAATGGCACATAACAACAACAACAACATCTGGAGTAAAGCAGAATGAAGAAATTAAAAGACGCATGGAAACAATTAGTCCAAGGGACTAGTGGACCATGTGAAACCCTGAGACCAGAACTACATGGTGCCCAGCTATCAATGTCAACCACTCAGCAAGGGATCAGTGCAGGAGATTCTGGATAAAGTGGGAGAAAAATGTGGAACAAAACTCAAAACATAAAAAAGACCAAGTTTACCGGTTGGACAGAGACTGGTGAAACGCCCTAAGACTATGGCCCCTAGTCACCCTTTGGGCCTAGATTTGAACTCACTCCTGTGGCTTCCAGCCAAACAATAGGCATATAAGGTGAACATTTATACCAGGTAGGTCCACTCCTTAGAACAATCACTCATGGGGGATCAGAAGGACAGCATTTGAACAGGGAGATAGTTCATTGGGCAAGAATGCATGGGAAAGAAGGGCACAGGGAAAGGGTAACCACCGCAAGGAAATGGGAAGAGAACTGTTACGTTGTGGGGATTGTAATCAGTATCATGAAACAAAATGTGTGGGAACTGCTGTATGGAAAATGAATTTGTAAACTTTCACCCAAATACATACATATACATATATGTGTGTGTCTGTGTGTGTCTATATATCCTGCCTCATACACCCAGAATTTATAAAACAATCAAAAGGGGCCTGTATGTACCTGGTAAGAAGTAAGAATACTCTCCCTATTGCTGCCATTTAGATTTTTGGAGTTTGCTTTGGGAAAAGCCTTCTAAAGCAATTTAGGAAGGACACATGGATCAAGCACCCGTTGAGTCCCAGAAGCTTTACATACATTATCTAATTGTCAATCATATGATGTATTTATTACACTCATGTTATACATTAGGAAAATGAGTAGTAGAAAAGTAATTTTCCTATGATAATATAGCTATTAAATGGTAGAAACAGTGATGACCGATATTGGGTTGGTCTGTATCAATACTCCCATGTGACAGTTGGTGCTACTTGTTACTCAAAATCCATTCTCCTTTCTTCCTTTGGTATCTACCCCAGAGTTTTATCTGATCCCATGGTTACCCACCCAAACACTACATTTTTCTGCCTCCCTTGCAACAGCAAAGGAGCTTTGGTGGCATAGTGCCTAAGACATTTGACTGCTAACCAGAAGGCGAGCAGTTCAAACCCAGCAGCCACTCCTCGGAAGGAAGATTGGGCAATCTGCTTCCGTAGTGATACCACCTTGGAAACCCAAGGAGGGGTTGCTGTGAGTCAGGTTCAACAGGACGGCAGTGAGTTTGGTTTTCTGAGTTTGCAGCAGCTGGGTGTGGTCATGTGACTAAATTCTGACCAGTGTGATATGAGCAGACGTGATATATTCAACAAAGGTCATACCCTTTAAAAATGAATGTTCCCCTCCACTTTCTCTTGTTCTTTCCATGGACTGGAAGGAAGAAGTAATGCTGGAGCTAGAGCAGCTGTTTTGTTTTGTTTGAGTACACCAGAGCCTTCTGCCTGAATTCCCAACTCGACTGAATAACCGTATCAGCCCTGGGCTGCTTATATGAAAAAGGAATAAAGTCCTTACTGTTTAAAGTTACAGTATATTGGCCTTTGTTACAGCTGGTGAATCTGTGTCTTAATCAATACATCTCACTCATTTGCTATCTGTCAAAGTGGGGCCAATGTCTTTTCTTTGAGGATAGGACCAATAATCAGAGTTCCTGTCTTCTTTATGTATCATCTGTAACTTCCAGTTTGCTTCTGTAAAGTGGAACAATTAATGACATATGTGAAGCAAGCTGAATGCAGAATTCATCTAGATTTATGACTACCTCCAATCTGTAATTATCTTCTTGCTCACATCTAATTCAACAGCATTTTTTTAAGTGACTCATCATAAGTGTTAGCATTCAATTTAGGTTTCACAGAAACAGTGCTTGTTTTCACACTCAGTTTAGCAATTTATATGCTATTTAATTAAATTACAAACTATGATAACATATAGACTGGCATAAAGACATTTGGTATCAAACACAACCACCTCTTGGTAAACAGTTGCCTAACTAGGGGAGTAGAACTGAACAGCATTCGATAAGGCACTCATTGCCTCGGTTTGAATCCTGGCTTCTCCACTTACTAGTTGTGACCTGGAAGGACAAACCACTTAACCTCTTTGTGCCTTCTTTTCCTCACCTGTGAAAGGGGATAATAATAACACCTACCTGATACCAATGCTGTGACAATTAAAAGAGAAAGCACTTGTGAATGCTTAGAATAGTGAGTGGCATGTGGTAAGTGCTCCATAATTGTTACACAATGTCATCGCTACTGCTGCTGGAAGCAGTTCTACAGGCTACAGGCCTGACACCACCACCATCCTCTCTGTTTCATGGAGGAAGTGGACTGCAGGGGTTAAATAAGATGTAGCTCCTGTAGTAGTATCCCCATTTCACACATGAAAAAAAATGGAGGTCTGCAGAGTCAGTGACTCCAAAGCCACTTGACTAAAAAGTCATAGTTTTTAGGACAAGGACCTTAGCAATCATGAGCCTTGGATCTGGAAAGAAAAAGAATTCACCATCCATCTTCCTTTTATCTGTTGAGTCCAAAAATCCCAATGAAGAGCAAACAGAACCCCTCAGTGCTGAGACTGCACAGCCCCCTCCTGCCTGCGCAGGAGTCCGCTCACTGACGGTGCTGTGTCCCATGTCCACACAGGGTTGAACAACTAGGAAGAGCCTTGCTCCCCAGAAGCTCCTAAAGTGTGAGTGTTGGCAAGTGGGGGGGGGGGTACTATAGAGGCCAGAACTGTGACGAGTGGAGTCACATGATCATGCAGAAGCCAGACTCAGTGGATCTCCTCTGGGGATTCCTGCTGGGGGCTTCCCGGGGCCATATGGATGACCTGTAAGAGGGAGAGAGGGGATGGTCAGTGGGGGTGGCTGGAGAAAGGGCAGGCAGTCTTCTCCAGCTCCAGCTTCCTGGTGCTCTCTGAGTCCTTACCTCTGCTGGTGGGCACCAGGGCAAGAGGGAGTAGGCTTAAGTTTCACATTCCGCCATTCTTCAGTGCCCTCCCTTTCTCTGGGGCTTAAAGTCAGGTTATGTAAGAGGCACGGGAGATCTTGGGCCTCCGGAGCTGGATGAGGGTTGTTCATATTGCTAAAAGACAAAGACAAAGAGGCTCAGACTCCTACATCCCCAAGCATCAGAGTACATCTTCCCTCAGCCTTACCAGTGGTCATGTTCCATCAAAATCAGCCTAAGCCACATCCTCTTCCACTTCCTTCATCCATTCACCAGGTCCTCTCCCTTCCCCCAGGGACCCACCTATTGGCTTGAGGGCCACTGGGTACCAGGATGCCAGGGTACCCCACTCTGGGGGGGCCTGGGCCTCCAAATGGGAGATGATTCCTGGCTCCTGGACCTACAGAAGGACAGACACATTTATCCCAAGAATCTCCACACCAAGAACCATCATGGTGGAGGATGGAGGCACGATAATGTGTCACTGTACACGAGAGCATGCCAAGGCTTGTACCCTGCATATGGCAGGTGCTTGGCAAGCATGAGCAGACCAGAGGTTAGATGGTAAGAATGATCCACTGAAGAAGAAAGACATCAGTGAATTTAAGTCAATTCCACAAGTAGTAAGGCATTCTGCTTCTGGAGTTTAAAGCCTTTGGGAGAGAGTTAAGGTAAAAAAAAAAAAAAAAAAAGCACCCAGCGTGGTGCCTGCCACACAATAGTGGGCTTTCAACAAATATTGGTGCTCTAAGATTCCACGGTCAGGTGACGGAAACACCAGGCCTCAGCTCAGACCTGGGGAGGGGGACGATGGGGGTGAGATGGGAAGCGAGGAAAAGAATAAGGGTGGAGGGTGAGGGGTTTTGCAAGGAGAAGCGCAACTGGGTGCAGACGACCTCGACTCACGCTCCAGCCTCGGCGCCCGAAACGCCGTGGGAACCCTCGCCGACCCTTCCTCTTCTTTCTCCTCGCGGTGGTCCTCAGACTCTTCGCCTTCCCACTCACCGGCAGATCTGCAGGGTCAGGGGACAGGGGCGCGGAGAGGCAGAGCGGCACCTAGGGCTGGTTCGCCTACCCTGCAGCAGAGCTACGCTAGCCCCAACCATCACCAGAAGCCACGCCCACCCCGCAGGCTCCGCCCCCATCAAACTCACCGGTACGGGGCGACTGCGGCGCCCCGCCGCACACTGGCTTGGGTCCCCGCCGAGCAAGCCCCACCGGGAGCCTGCCGCCTCCCCGAAGCCAAGGTCTGGGAAGAGTAAAGGGAATCGATTAGGGAAAACTGGCTGTCCCAGCCGTATATGTGTCCTCCCTAGCTGCCTGCGGAGAGACACCTTGGCCTCAAACAGAGAAGTGATTGGCGCAAACCGGAGCGTGCCGCTTGTCACTGATATTAAAAAACCTGGATGAGACCCTTTGTTCCGTTAAGGTTCACGCTAATAACTCAGGCTAGCACGTGGGCTCATGGGATATCAGATCTGCTGGAGCTTGTCCACCATCTCTTCCTCCTGGAATCTCGACGGGCCAAGACCCAGTAAGTTGGTGACGGACCAACCCCAGACCTTCTGACCCCCAACCGGATCCTCTACCTGTACCACGCTAATTTAATTTGCTTGCAGGCATAGATACTGTGCCCTAGTCCTTAAAATAAGACAGGACATAAACCCAATTAAATAAATAAAAGCAACTGTAAAATATAATTTCAGTTCTTGTGTGAGGAGGGGAAAGTTTCTTGGAAGTGTCTCAAAGTGTGAGGGAGGAGGCAGATAGAGAGACATCAGCCTGTTGAGAAAGACTGGGAGGTAGAGAGAGGATGAGGCAGCCAGGAGGGTGAAGAGCCAGAAGAGGAACAGCAAAGGGAAACCCACCAAGAAATGCTCCTGGAAAACCGGAGACCTAGGCAGCTCTGGTAGCATAGTGGCTAAGGCACTTGACTGCTAACCAGAAGGCTGGTGGTTCAAACCCACCAGCCACTCCTCGGTAGGAAGGTTGGTTTCCCTTTTCTTTGTTGAAGAGGGTCTGTGCAATCCTTCTGCCTAGTCCGCCATCTTGCCCCGCCTCTCTAAAATGTGTACATTTTAAAGAAACCTAGAGCAAAAATTGGAGCTCTGGTAGCATAGTGCCTAAGGCACTTCTAACCAGAAGGCTGGCAGTTCAAACCCACCAGCCACTCCTCGGAAGGAAGATGGGGCAATCTACTTCCGTAATGATACTGCCTCGGAAACCCAAGGAGGGGTCGCTATGAGTTGGGTCCAACTCGACAACACATAACAACAACAACAACAGAGCAAAAATTAATGCTACTGAAGTTTAAGAAATGAAACACTGTAGTACTTTAGAACCTCCTGGTGGTCCTCCCCAATCTTACTTTCACAAGGAAATAGTGGGCTGACTACTATTTCCTTGTCTTTCTTTACCAATTACTACCAAAAACAAACAAAAAAACCCAAACTCACTGCCATCGAGTTGAATCCAGCTCATAGCAACCCCCTTTGGCTTTCTGAGGCAGTAAATCTTTATGGAAGTAGACTGTCCAGTCATCTTTCCATGGAGTAGCTGGTGGGTTTGAACTGCCAACCTTCTGGTTAACAGTCAAATGCCTTAGGCACTACGCCACCAGAGCCACCTATTACCAATTACTAAGGGTCTCTGAATAGCACAGCTCAGTCTGGCGTGTTCTTTTTACTTATACAAGGCTCTACTCTTTTGTGATTGCTTCTTCCATTCCCCATCTGTTCATGAGCTTGGTCCATGCTAATGGGGACAGCTCACTGGCATCCCACTGGATTATTTCTGCTCACTGGCAGAACATTGGATTTCTTCTGCTGCTAGACATCTGAGTTCTTGGCAGTGCAAGGGCATAATAAGCAAGTTGTACACAAAACAAGTACAAGGTACAAACGTGCAGGCATCTTGCGAGGGCACATACAAACAGCTGGTCACGTGTGCACCTTCTCACTAGTTTTCAACACTCCCCCTATTCCAAATCCTCTCCAACAATGTGATAGGAGATTGTGGTCTCAATTTGCATTTTTATGATTACTATTAAGGTTAAGTGTCTCTTCACTTGCTTGTTGGCTTTTAGGACTTCCTTCCATGAAATAATTATTCTTTTGCTCATTTTTGTACTTTTTTTAAAATCATGTTGGGGAATGTGGTGGTTTAAGTTTGTGTGTCAACTTGGCTGGGCCTGGTTGAATGGCTGGGCAACTGAATGTAGTTATTACCCATGGTGAGACTGGTAATAAACTCCACGGTGGAATCTACTGGAGCAGCTGAGTGGCTGCTTGTGTATGTAGTCTGCTTCCTGTACATGAGAAACAACTTTGGGGAAACAACTACACGCTTGAACCCTGCATGTAGTCATGCTGTTGTTCAGCAGCTTGCCATGTTCTGCCCACCTTGGGACTTTCAATGGACTTGAATTAATGGCCTGTCGTGTGGTTTGGTAACACAGGAACTGTGCCTTTTTACTTATCAACCTTCGGCTTGTCAGCCTCAGCTGCCAGCAGCTGCGTAAGCAAAGAAAAACCTCCAGCTTCAGTGGGCCGGGAGCAGGAAGCAGAGCCCAAGGTTGAGGGGCCTTTACCCAACCCCTTAGAGCCTGGCACTTTGAACTCAGACTTAAAGCCTCCAAAATGTAAGAGAATAAACTCCTGTTTGTTCAAACATGCCATTTGTGGTATATACTTGTCAGAGTGCCACTAGGTAACCAGAACAGAATATGGTACCGAGAGAGTGGGGTGCTACTCTGACAGATACCTAAAATGTGGAAACAGGAGTGGAGTGCATCCTTGACCCGAGACACCGGCAGAGAGACCCCAGCATGTGGCATGAGAGATGCCAGAAGTAGCACCAAGAGACTGGCATTAAACAGCAACAGGCTTACCAGCCTATGGAGGAGAAAGCCAGGTGCCATTGGATAAGCGGCTTCCTGGCGGAGTGGGTTGTAGAAGAGACCAGCATGAGATGGAATAGCAGGTCAGCCAGCCAGGGAGCTAAAAGCTAAGTATACTTTGAGCAGGAATATTTCCAGCAGAGTGGGTTGCCTTGGGCATTAACTGACAGAAGCAGACACACCAAGGAAATGGGAAGCAGAGCTACCTCAGCCTCAAGCGTAGGACCATGGCCTTTGGAGGTGGAACCACCACAGCCCCCTAGGTTTCAAAGAGCCAGACCTTCACCAACTTGGTTCTACAGTGTGGGGCTGCTTGTTCATGAGAACTAGTGGGTTAGAGTTATAGCCCCTACCCAAGAGGGGGCAGGGCTGCTACGGCCAAGAGGGAGAGGAATAGGGCCCACCAGGCCAAGTGGGTGAGGTCACCACTCAGGAACTAGGGGACTGGAGTCACCCAATGAAGGAGATCTGTAAAGACACCACCCATTAAAGATCTGTACAGATGCCAAGTTGACAAGGGGTAGAATTGTGGTGGTTATGTGTCAACAAGAAAAGAAGAGAAGACCAAAGTGGATGACAGAGGAGACGCTGAACCTTGCCCTTGAGCGGAGAATAGCTAAAGCAAATGGAAGGAATGAAAAGGTAAAAGAGCTGAACAGAAGATTTCAAAGAGCAGCTCGAGTAGACAAAGCCAATTACTAGAATGAAATGTGCAAAGACCTGGAGT